TGAATCGTATTTGGCTGTTCCGGTGTTGTCGTCCACAACCTCTCTTGGTAGATGAACTCTGCAGAACATTTAGGAGTCGAGGCTTTACATCTCCATATGCACATTGCAGTGCGTTCATGCTTCTCTATTAAGAGGGCGTTCATACTTTGCGATCGATCGCTTCGATAGCAAAGTATGAACGCTTTCTCGAGAGACTTCAATTTCCCACCTGAGATAATATGGAGGTGCAGAAAACATGAAGATATCATCACTATACTCAATTTCTGTGTCTGCAATTTTCGCATACGGGGCGCGTATTATAAAAATCAACCATTTATCATCCTGTACAATACTGAACGTGGGCGTAATCATACTGCAACAACAAATTTTGAACGAGGCGTGGAGAAGGGTAACGGAGAAATTATCAAAAAGGAAATAAAAGAATTATTGGTGTGAACCATTTGTAGTATTTTGAGTAGGACTAGACATAAGAATTCTTTATTAATCACGTTCAAAAGAAGGAATTGATAGTAAGTTCATTGCAGTGCCGCGTAGTTTACTGAGCCTTAGATAATGAAATGATGGTATCCTGCCAATGTTGCCGCTCAGACTCTATATAGGTACTACTGATACCCAAGGACATTGAATCTTCTGACAGCTGCAAAGGAAAAGATCATTTCTACCTATTTCCCGAGTCCAGACTGTATCACAGTTTGAGAAGCTGGCGCTGCTCGGCTTGGAAGGGGTATGAACTGGTATTTGGTGAAGCTAGTTCAGACATTCAAAGACCTGTGAATTCTTGTCACCGAAATGGCCCACTCCTATTATTTCGCAATTTCGCAGGAGACAACAGCTCTCACTGCTGGTGGACGTAATCAAGCTAAAGTAATTGACGAAAGCTCAAAACGTTCCTCCCAAGCCGAACTGCGCCAAGGATCTTATTCCCGAGAACGGCGAACCTTCAGTTGGTGTCGAACGAATTCGATAACATACATCCCACAGTCAAAGCTGTTACGTTGCTGAGGACAATCGACAATCACAAACGACACTTCTGTAGTATCAAGAACAGGTTTAATTATGTTCACGAGCTGAAAATGTGATTCGAAAAAAACTCCGAACAAAAGGCACACAAAGTGCATATTGCAATTATTTCAAACCTGTCTGGCGACAGCGTCTTTAGCCGGCCGCATACTGTCGTAATACTCAAATCGTGAAGTTCCACGATCAAATACGAGCAATGACCAGTGATTGCCACCAACAATAGTAGGGTCATCGCGATCATTGAGTATAAAAAGTACCTGAAATGAAAAGGATTCCACAATGTTCGTCCTTTCGTAGAGCAAAGAAGAGGAAACAATGGTTTCAAAACGGGCCGCTCCTTCGAAATTTCCTTTCTTATACTTTGCCGATCCTTCCAGTCCTACCTACCACGTTCCCCTAGTTCTCCCTCACTTCTCTATCACATTTCCACGTTGGTTTTTTTTTTCTTGCTTTTGCGAAAAAATCTTCCACTTTCCCCATGATACAGAGGGATCTACTAGGGAAGGTCGTCAGGTCGAAGTGGCCATTTGTAATGAGATGTAGCTCACTAGACGTGGTTTTGGACGCTGATCTCGAATCTGCCTTTGAAATTTGCAGAACGATTCTCTGAACGGAGTTATGGAGCCGCGTTTACCACGCAACAGGTCGTGGGATCGGATCCCTGCTGAGCTTAACTTTTTTGCTTCTTGTGCAAACGTGGCAAAAAGTGGTTGTGGCGTCACTACTACATTAGCGCTCTCCTTGACTTGCCTGAAAAACAGTTTGTGTTCGCTTACTGGCGCGCTTAGTGCCTTATGATCTAGGAGAATTTTAGATGTACAGGTGCCCTTGGCGCGCAGTGCAGGCGTTTTCGCGCTGAGCGAGTGCCATGTTCGAGTTTATCGGGGCGAACTACGCCTAGGTAGAGGTTTCTAGCCAAATCTGGCATTTTGACCTGACTTCGAAAAGTGAAGCATCCATGGGTTAGTTCAGTTGATGTTCACACCTATTCAGCTGCAGATACATTCTCCTGCACAGAGCCATGTCTCGCCACTTCTTACGCATTCATTTATTACAGCTCCAGTTCCTTGATATCTAAAAGCAAATTCCGTCCAAAGACAAGCAATCGACAAGAGACTGGCCCTGGA